GCCAGACTGCGCAATACTCCGCATTGGTATCCTCAGAATACCGTAGGGAGTGTCGCATCGCCCCCTCGCCCCCGCCCCCCCCCCCCCTTCCTTCCTCCTGTCAAAACAAATAACTTGTTCAGAAAGAGCTAGCCGTATGTTGTGAGGTTCTTGACAAACTTCGATGCAATTTACTTGCTGGACCACGGCGAAAGGCGCCCACCAGTCAAAACATGTCGTGCCAGGCTTGAAGCACGCCTAAGGTATGGTGAATAGTTTGATGATGGTTAAGATGGGGTTTGAAGAGCACACGGGATTTTCATTAGTGAGCATGGCCTCATGGAGGCCCCAATATTTGACGTCATTCCCAGTGTCGCTTGCCATTGGTTTGAAATATGTTATGCATTCTGCTGCCTTGGCTATCGAGGCCCACGTTGTTGTCGTTTTTGTGCGGTCGAGGAAAGTAAATCCAACCGTGGATCGAGTTTAAACGTGAGGCCCGGCAAGTTCCGAGGTTGGAAGAAAGCTGCTGTTGTGATCGAGCTATCTCGTTAGTCTAAGGTAGCAGCGCCTGCTTTCCTAGCAGCAGCAGTTATTCTGACCTCTGCTGAAGCAGTGTATAATTGAGTGTTTCAGTTATGTGCGTGGTTGTGAAAATGGCAATGATGAGACTTTCGGTGAGACGCTGATTACTGATGACGCTACTGGGCATGGGCTCAATGGCCATTTTTGTCATATGCTATCGCATTACGCTACTGACGGCAATTTTTCCTCCAGAAATTTGGTTCCCGACAAAAAGTGCACTTTTACCACCCCCGATGCAAGGATTGGTTTCCTTCTGCACTTTCCTGGCATAAACGGGATGTTGAAGAAGCATCAAAGTAACGGTGCACATCTCTAAAACATCTCACGTCGCCAAGCGAGGCGAGCGGGTCTCACTTGTACTACACTAATTCCAAATTTGGCATATACTGTTGCCCACGAGCAGGTAACCAAGAGTGCCCCATGCTTTTTTTAAAATATGCCCAAGGGTTAGACACTCCATTTGACACAAGAAAGCATAAAATCCAATCGCAAAATTGGCAGCTAAAAAGTAGAAGCGAACGGAAAGGCAGACGAAGAGGTGGTGCGTACCCGGCAGAACTCGTGATATGCGATAAGCAATGACATGTGAAGGAGGAGGCTCAAAATAGTCAAACGTGGTGCAAAAGCTCAAAGTACATTTTTACATATTACGTCCTGCTAGACAGATAAGAAAAAACGGTTTTATAAGCCACATCTATCGAGTTTACGTAGACAAAGGTGTAAAGTACCAGTATCAAATGCTGCTGCAAGTGCAGATACAAACCTAGCACATATTATCTGCTTTAAGAAGCGGTAGGGTAAGGTGGGGTAAGACGGCCCGCCGGGGTATACGACCCATCAAGATATCTTAGAATTTAAAAAGTTCTGGAGAAACACTTTCTGCTCTTTGAAGCAAACAAAATGTGATCAGTACACTGGCAGATAGCGACGAATCTGGTGGATCGCGTTGGGGAGATGGCGTAAAATTGTGTTTGCGAGTATTTTTAATATTTTGAGGTTCCGATGCTAAGTTAAGACAATCGTTTATACCACACCATAGTTCAGAATCGTTAATGCATAGCGAGAGATCATAATCTGAACCCAAAATTATCTTGCTCTTTGGCGTTGAATTCGTGCTGGTTCTCGTTATTGTCGCCGCTTTCTATCCGAATGACTGGTCGGGGCAAAACGTCACAGTAGGTCGTGAGGTAAAAAGCCCCATGGGGTGTATTGCCCCTGTTGAGCCTTTTACTGCCAAGTTCTTGTTTTATCGGCTTCAAATGACTAGTTGACCATAGTTTAATCTGGGTAATATTTTAAAACTCTTAAGGGACAGAATGTTGCGGAAATACAAAGGCAGGAAGATAATGATATTGGACGTTGATTTACCTTTCAAACTTAGAAATGTGGTTGAAGTTGACAGCCATATTGTTGTTTATATTGTATCTGGGCAGCGTGCAGTTTTCAGTCATGGTGTGGACATACAAGGGAAAATCACAGCGCATGAAATGTGGCGAAATAGCCATTAAAAAATATCTGGATGATCTCAAAAAAGGGCTGGGTGTGCGGGAGGTGTCACGCAAATATGGTGTGCCGCTTAGAACACTTCGACGTCATCGCGGCTGTACCGTGAAACGTCTGGGAGATCAGTATCTTAGAAGGTACGACACAGTGTTACCTTCCGGTGTGGAAACGGCTATCAAAGAACACATTCTTGAGACGGAAAGTCGCCTTTTTCGCTTGGATACTGTGGACGTACGGAAGCTGGCATTTCAGATGGCTGAACGTATGAAACTCCCACATCCGTTTCGAGATGGATCCGCCGGAAAAGAATGGCTATGCGGCTTTCTGAACCGCAACCCAGAGGTCAGCCTCAGAAAGCCGCAAGGAACCAGCATCCATCGGGCGATTGGCTTCAATAAAGATAAGGTGGCTCAGTTTTTCGAGATCTATAAAGATATTCTCGAAAAGTTCAAGTTCGAGAGCTGGCAGGTCTGGAATATGGACGAAACTGGTGTTTCCATTGTCCAGACCCCTTCAAAGTTTTGGGCCAAGTGTAGAAAACGTTGCTTCGGAGCGCTGACTAGCGCGGAAACAGGCGAACTTGTGACAGTTGTTGCTGCTTGCAGCGCCGCGGAACAGTACATACCTCCGATGATGATCCGGCCGAGAAACTTTCTGCTAGACAAGCTCATGAATGGAACACCTCCAGGGTCCATTGCTGGTACCGTTGATTCAGGATGGACGGACGGCGAACAGTTCTTGAAATGGGTGGTGCACTTTCAGCAGTGGAAGCAAAGCAGCATCAAAAACCCACAGCTGATGATACTGGATGAACACCAGTCCCACAAGTATCTTCCTGCCATCCTCTTCGCCAGGGAGCACCACATACATATGCTGACTATGCAACCGCATTCCTCGCACAAGATGCAACCTCTTGACCGAACCGCCTTTAAGTTACTCAAAGCCGGCTACAAGACGCGGCAGAGAACTACTTGCGGACAAGCCGAGGCAGAGGCATCGCCGTCTACGAGATTGGGCAGCTGATCGACAAAGCGTCCAACCGGATGGCAACACCCGAAAGAGCCGTCAAGGGCTTCAAAGTGACCGGTCTTTGGCCGTTCGGCCAAAACGTCTTCACAGGGAAAGACTACGCGCCATCGCTGCTGACGGATGAAGCAGAGCCCAGTGGATGTGGAACTGACGGCATCGGCTCCTGCGGAGGAGCTGGCGCAGCGGGCAGCGATGGTCCCAGCGGGGGAGCTGGCGCGGAGGGTGACGCTAGTCACAGCGGAGGAGTTGGCGAGATGGACGGCGCTGGCCCCAGTGGAAGAGCTGGCGCGGAGAGTGACGCTGGTCGCGGCGGGAGAGCTGGCGAGGTAAACGGCGCTGGTCCCAGCGGAGGACCTCCAGCGAGCAGAAGGCTTACGTCTGCAAGGACACTTCCAGGAGAGTCGTCATCATTACCCAAGTCAGACAAAAGAAAACGCACCCGTAAAACGGAGAAGTCTACGGTCTTAACTTCATCTCCGTCCAAAGAGAAGGTACTTGTAAGCTACTTCAGGAAAACAAAAGGCACTAAAGCAAAGCCTGCGAAAAGGAAGTCAGTGCCCGACTCCGTGAAAGACGTGACATGCCTGATATGCTCAATGCGCTTCTCCTTCTCCTGTGAGGAGTGGATTCGGTGTGGGGGCTGCAAAGGTTAGACTTGTGTTCCTTGCACTGATGCAAATGACACTCAGATGGTGTTCGTCTGCGACCACTGTCCTGGATACGTCGCAGTAATCCAGACACGCTATCGCACCAGCTACCGTTACCCTTCGCCTACCACTCAGCGCAGGTACATCTGAATGAACGTTGATTGTTTTGGTACTAATTTGTTTCGATGTTGAGAGAGGTGATATCTTCAAGGTGGAAATGCTTAGTTTAATGGCTGCAGGCAGATATAAAATCTGCTTGAACCCCGACCTGAGCTTTTGGTGTTAGATGGGGTACTTTTCCTGGTGAGGTTATATGCGCTAATACCCGGGGCTTCTTGCCCAATGGCCCTGGGCTTCTTGCCCCACGGCGCGGGGTGTCTTGTCTTGGTGGGGCGAGACGCCGCACTTGCAGACTTCTCGACAATCATTTCCCGGTAGCGTATGAAATGGAGAATGAGGAAGTGGGTCTTCCATGAATCAGTAAAGATGCTCAAAGAATACTTCAGTAAATGCACTCGCAATGGTAGTAAGATAGGACAAAGGATTTTCAGCAAAATACATTTTCTGGGCGTCTTGCCCCGCCTTGCCCTACTTATAGCGTCTGGAAAAGAATAAGAGAAGAAAAGATTTTAATAATTGGGTGTAAGTACTCCTGCTCTTCTGAAATCCAAACTGGTTCTAGTGAATAATGTGTCTTTTGTTCATAAAGAAAGATGCGTCTATTCTATATGTTGCTCAAGGATTTTGGAAAAATAGCAGAATACTAACAGGTTTACAATTATTCGCACACTGACAGTCTCCACTTTTAAAAAAACACAGTGTGGTGACGGCTGTTTTGAAAATATCTGGAAATATCCTCAACGACAAAAACCTGTTGCAAAGGTGAATAATCGCTTTAAATATTACCCCGTAAGCTAACTTGAGTATTTTTACTTCTTTTTTTTGTCCACTCCGCTCCAGCTCCGACATGGCTTAATCCATTTATGACAGGAATTAGTTTCTCTTCATCAGCAGATAATAACTGCACTTCATTTTCCACACTCGGGATCAGTTGGAGTGGATGAAATGATCATGTAGGAATTTGGTATTTTAGCTTTTGTGCAATCTCAGTGAAGAAACAAATGATTCCGCAATATTCCGATTACCTATAACCACTTGATCATTTACCTCACCAATCCTAGTTGGAACATTATCCTTTTTTGGCTTTGAATTCGTAAGAACCTTTGATGTTTTTCGTGTTTCCTTGGAATTTCCAGAATGCTTCGTAAGTTTTCCACTATAATACTACCTCGTGGCTAATCTCAGCAACCTAGTGAAGAGTGGCATACGGCATGCAGCCTCCTGCATGCTGAAGAGGTGACTGGCTGAACAGCCATATCAATACAGCTCTGATAAATATTATTCGATTATGAACTGCATTTTATCGGTCTGCGTAATAGCCATCTGTCGAACAAAGCTGCCCTCAGTCAATTGGTTTTTAGTATTGCTCATTCAATGTTTGCTTCCTTGCTTTCTAGCCTTGAACATCAAATGTCGTACGTGGCTTGCTTAGTTGCTTCACATATCCCTGCCCTAAACTCCCTTCTTGACCTTGTTCTCAACGTCACAAGCTCATCTTCATTTCTATACCTTCTTCTCCATCAAAGTCCCAAGGCTTTGCTTTATATCTTCAATATCATGCGATAAGGTGTTTGACCTATTTGCTTTAAATGATGATGGTAGTGATCCCTCAATAGCGCACGATTGCTGAAAGACTGAGAGAAGCAAATATATTCCGTTACCTAAAAATGTCAAAACGTTATTCACAACAATATCATGAAACTAAACCTTATGCATGTGCATGTGATCGGCGGGCCGCAGGCCTGCCTGGTCTGAACGTCAAGTAACCGTAAATTGTGCAGCTGCAGCGGTCCGCCCTCCTGGCTCCGTCAACAGCTGCTCTGATAGCATTATATGCTTGTTACCCTGCTGCCACTGATTGCATGTCGTCCAGATTTCAACAACAAGTAATACAACCATTCAACGTCCAGATCCTGACGGCACGGCGTCGTAGCAACAGCAGAGCGGCACGTTTTGGCAGGAAGGGACGTGCAACGGCACTGGCGACGGTCTGGGTCGATGCTGGCCGCCGAACGCGCGCCCCGAGCGCGAGGCATAGCTCTTCCTGTCGGATCGCGGCCACGAGGCCAGGCGAAAATGTTAGACCTGGGATCTCGGCGACGAGAGCAGTCGGATCCGGGATCTCGGATCTCGATGACGAGAGCGGACGGATCTCAGGATTTCGGATCTCGGCGACGAGAGCAGTCGGATCTCTGGATCTCGGATCGCGGTGACGAGAGCGGGCGGATCTCAGGATCTCTGATCTCGGCGCTAGAGAGGTGGATCTCGGGACCTCGGATATCGGTGATGAAAGGAGGCGGATATTTGGCAGCCAATTACACGGTGTAAGCAAAAGTGTCTGCAAATAAATCGGCCATTTCAGCTCTGCCTGACCCCCAGGTGCGCCAGCCGTAGACCGGTAGGTGGACAGAGTGGCATTAGCCGTAGCGGGCTTCAAATGTAACCATAGACCGGGGGGTGGACAGAGGGCATTGGACGAAGCGGGCTTCGAGTGAACCGTGAGCCGGGAGGTGAACAGAGTGACATCAGTTTCAGCGGGCTTCGAATGCCGCAAGCTCTGCCAATAAGAAGAGGATGGAGCATGGAACCCGTTTCAGCGTACGGTCTAGTTTGTTTTCATCGGTCTTCGCGTAAATCGTGTTGTATTTTGCAATACTTCAGTCACAGTCGCCGAACATGCCAGCTATGTCAAGTTCGGCAGTTCGGCCAATAGAAATTGGTGGGCCGTGCCGGGCCCAAAGAAAAACAAAATCAGAGCGATCTTTGCCGTAAATTTATGTGAGAACGCTAAACAACGGCGCATTTGCCCGCCATATTCAAGGAGTGGTGTTGCAATGCAGTTGTACTGGTAACACCGATTTATGGGTTCTTGAAGATGCTTGGCTTTATTCGCTGTTGTTGCGCTCTCATCTACATGACCTCACGTGTGTTGTGAGCTCTCGCGATCACTCACTTTATCATCGACTGGCAGCCTCGCTGGCCTTATGCTACAAAAGGCTTCCTACCAGTATACATTTCATAAATTGACAATACCAAATGATTTATGTAAAAGAGGAGAAGTGGTATATCTGGAAGTTTAGACTTTCTGTTTAAATTTTGAATTCTTATTGGTTTTGCAGTCGAAAGCTTTCACTCTGTAGACAAGCAATGAGACCTTTTCAATTGTGCAAAGCCACAAAATAGATGAAAATGTATTCGAAGCCTTCTACTAACAAAGCGAAAGGCTGGGTCATGCAGATCCATCTCACTCTGAGCCTACAGTTGAAGGAAATGCTCCACATTTGAAGATTTTGAGATAAGCATCAGATATGATGGGAAAAGCTTTCTTGTAACTATTCGTGAGCTTTCAAGGTTCGAAAACGACCCTAAGTAGCAAAATTTCAAGATCTGTAAAAATGCACCCCGTTGCAAAAATGGAATCGTTTTGTGACGACAGCAATACCTGGCAGCATCTGGTACCCAGACCTAAAGAATACCTCGAAGCGCACGAAAGATGACACCAATCGGCCACTCTTGTCGCGGGCGCTGTGATGCGTAGCGGATTAGTTGATGACTTGTTTGTGGATTTTTGTCTTAGTACTGGTCGTAACAGGAGCTTTGGTGGGCTGTTTGACATACGCGAAGTGGCGATCGCCAGCTTTTATGGCAGATAATTAACATCAAAGCACGATATGCTGCGAAGGCTGTGATGTGGCGTCATTAATCTCTTACCGAAACCTGCCAAGGGCTGTTGAGGGTTTCGATACTGTATTGTCGACTTATCCTTGCCTGCAGGGCTGTAGCCCTGACATTGGCGTTATGTGATATGTTCACGATAGTTACGTTATTATGTGTCTGGAAATACAGTTGCATGCAAAAACCAATAAGTCCGTAACATTGCTATGAATTGATCGCCAAAATATTGTTGTTTTGTTGGTAATGATGGTAAGACTGAGCTATCGATAAAAATTGTATTGCTTAGGACTATTTATGCGATCACTAGTTGTAACAATATTCTCGCTGGTGATAGCCCTTTGGCGTTGTTGAATCAGCTGTTACCAGGCATTCATAAGTTATAGGTTGTTATCTCATAGGCTTGACATAGAGAAGTCAACCAGTGTGGTACATTGTGTAATGGCACAGGTCAACAGTGTCATCGTGACACTACCTTAGTGCTGTACTGCGGCATGGCATAATGAACAGTGATATGGTTTTTGTGCTGCAGTCCCTGCTGTTTTCATAATAAATTTCATCTTGAAAGGATGGGTCGAGCATGCATTATTGTATTAACTCCACATATCACATACCATTGGCCCAAAACACATGATACAATATAAAAATCACCTTCAGCAAAGCGCACAACCAATAAGTGACATCACTTGCTTAGCCTGTCTTGGGAATCCACAAAACATAGGTGAGAAAGATGCAGACCCGCTTTCTGCTTCCAGAGCCATGCAACATGATGCAGACATCAGCCTGCTTCACTCAAAAATGTTGTTCATACAGGTATAATACATCTATAACAAGAAAATATTATACGTAGCGTAATGATGCTGCAGACCTGCTGGACTTGCACAGCACTGGAGAAATGAAAAGTGCATGTAGTTATGGCTAGATGGGCGAAATGCAAGGAAGTGATGAACCTGCCGGTGCACACAAGGCTCATGATAAAAATGTTATTAAGTACTATGCAAGGAACCAACAGCAATACTTCTCCATCTTTATCAGCACCCAGCACCTGACACAAGCTGCAGATACTGTGACATTGACTCACAAGCAATGCTTGACTGCATACAAAATTTGTGAAGACAGTCATGTGTGCATCCATAATGATACAATATTATGTTGTCCAAATTCTGAAATGAAGGACAATTTTTCAAAGCTGTATCACGCGAGTTTATACCAAGCATGTGCATTAATAAGCTGTGCTGACCGGTCCCTACTGCTTAAATTAATTGCTAATATAATGGCATGCAATGGATTAATTACATGTTGTGTTAATCACTTTATTAGGTTCAAAATGTTGGCAAGATCAAAATGAGGTAGCAAATTGCCTTTGAACACCTCTGCAACATGGGTGCTAGCATTTCGTTCAGTTTGCCGGCATCATTACCTTGTCATATTCAAACGCAAATCTAGAGAAAGGGACAGGTATTAATAAACCACATTTTATTGGAAGTCATTAGATGCAAAGAATACCAAACAGTTTTCTCTCTCGGAAGTACAAACCTCGTACGCACACTCCCCATCACATCAAGAACAATACAAGCCACTGGCAAGCACCACCAATGATCACACCCATTTCCATCGCCTGATTCACACCCTAGTGTCAAATAAGTGTGAGCCACATTTGCGCAACCCGCGGGCCTATCAAATTGCAGGTTTTCTCGCAATCCCCGCACAGGTTTTCGGTTATAACACCGCATTTCACCGTGAGCTCCCTCCAAAACAAAATTCCGACGGGGGTTCATGGCAATACAACTCGAGAGGTTGTACCTGTAGAATACAATTTTGTACTTTAGATTTAGATTTGTCCTGCGATGGATGTTAAATATTTAGTAAAATATCTATGCCTAACGTTGCTGTAATATTCCCCTAATTTTGTAACGTCTTACTAACCCATAAACACGTGCGAGGTTCTTTGCTCTGGTACACAGGGTGCCAACCGAGTTGTCTGCAAAAAAATACGTCAGTAGAAGGAGAAAAAACCCAGTAGGAGAAAAAAATAGTCAGATTCGACATCACTTCTTTTTTTTATAGCATTCAGGAGAGCACCGTTCTTTTTTTCGGTGCGGTACTTTTTTGCGTACAGCGGCGTTCTCTTTGTATAACAGTGAACTTTAGTAGAAGTAAGGAAAAATGCACCATTGGCGACGAGTGTCGCACAACCCAAAAGTGCTCACGCTTACGTTCGCGACACGCATTCAGCAGCGAAATCTTATCAACAGCCAATCACCTTCCACGGATTGTATCATTCGAGCCGCAACATCGTTCTTGCGGATGTATCAGCGGCCATGCTGTTTAGACCATTGGCAGAAAACAGCCTGTAATGTAACGGCAATCTTATGACGTTTTTATGACGATATCAATGCTAAGGGGACTCTGGAGTAGTCTCCCAATAAATATTTTCGCACTTTTGCGGGCGTATAACTCAGCAACCAGAGGGCTTTGAGTCTTAACACGCGTCTGGGTGGCCGGCTAGATACTCAGGTGGGGGTCAATTTGACCTCCGCTGAGATCTCGGAAACTGAGAGAGCTAGAGACACCAAATTTACAGGGTGTGCTGACCTGTACGTGAACTCATTTAGGTCAAAGCTGTAGGTTCCTAGGTCATAAGCTTCGGGTCAAATGAGGTCAAACAAGGTCGAATTCCAGGTTGGTCTCCAAAGTGCCTACTTAACCTAGATAACTGTTTCTAAGCAAAAAGTCACATGCTCAGTTAAGGCCAGTGACCTTGTTTGACCTTTTGAAGGTCATGGTGACCAAAATCATACAAGACTGCTCTGGGTTTTGCATTTGAATAAGCGACAAGGATTACACCAGGCAGTATGTTCATTAAAAAAATGTTGACTTGGGACATTTCAGGTCAATGACCTATTCTGACCTCTAAGAAGTCCATGGAAGATGCATAAAGCGGGTCCCGCAATCAATAAATTCGAAATGAGCAGCAGAAACTATCTCATACAGCAAGCCCCAGGGTAATAAAACAGTTTGGTTTTGGCCTTGGTCTGACCTTTATTCCTGACCTTAGGTCAACGCAGCTTGCTCATTCAATATTTGTGTTGGCTAAGAAAGCATTTCAGAGATGTGTGGCTTCGTCTAGCACTCCGCTGTTGCATCAGATTGAAAGACTCCCTAAAAATTGACTTGCTGAAACCATGGCCTGACTTTGACCCGCCGTAGGTCAGTGACCTTACAAGGTACATCTAAATTTTTAGTGCCAAGCGATCTGCTATTCAATTGTATACAGTTATACAAAATTTGGCGCGGCTGCACCGCGCCGTTCGGAAAGCATTCTGGAAAAATCTTCGGGGGACAATTTCACCCCACCCGAGCGCGCGTTAAAAAGGGCATGCCGTGATCTGCACCAAAAGGTCCTCAAGATAGCTATTTCAGTTCAAAACCCCATGTAAAGGTGGGATATTCCCTTTAATGGCTGGATTCACGCGACTGGTAGGAAGTTAGGAGACTGGAATTTCACGCCTCACAGCCCGGGCCATTACGCATACCAATCGCCCAGCCCACGCACTATCCAGAATAAGATGCTGACGCGTCATGACAGCCTGAACTCCATCCCGGACTCGCTTGCCAAGACTCCCTGATTTTGTATGTAGCGTTGCTACATTTACTAGCCATAACACAAACAAACGGCTCTGGTAACTGGCATTCGGGCGGCGCGGTGTCCGCGATAATGACGCGTAGGCGCGCGCGCTCCCAGCCGCGTCGGCCGCGTCTCGGGTTCCAATCAGCTGCCATCGCGGGGTCCGCCGTGACGCGCCCTGATTTCCGTAATCAGTCCCCGCGGTCCCGACCCGCCGGCGGGCAGAGCGGGGTGCGCGCGCACCGTCCGCGCTCGGCGCCCACCGCTCCGGGTCGCAGGGCAGTCGATAGCCGGGGGCGGTGCGGAGGGGCGGCGGGAGCGCACCGCTCCGTCTCGGTCAGCGCGCGTGACAGGCTAACATCGGGCCTTCGGGAGACACCGCGGACCTCTGAACACGGCACTGGGTGTGGCGGAACGGAACCTTTGCAGCGTGCCGAGCAGCACATCTGGGAACGCGGCGCCACCCGCCTGGACCGGGGCCGGCCTTTCGCCAGAGACGCCCGACTTGACCTGACCAGTGAGTCGTACGCGCCGACGATCCGCTCGCGTGCCGCCGCAAGCCTGCAGCACGCCAATCATGGCCGAGCTGACGACGTCGCCGGCGTCGGACGGGCCGCTGACCCTGCGCGACCACTTCTCCGGCTACACGTGCCGCGAGGGCGACGTGGTGTTCCAGCGCACGCCGGCCGCGCTCGTCTGCTGGGACCGGAACGCCTCGCTGCGGCTGGGTATCCCGCTGCCGCTGCCGGCCAACGTGACGCACCAGACACCGCTCGACTATGCGCTGCCGCTCTACGGCTACGTCATGCCGGTGCTGCTGGCCGTCACCATCGTGGCCAACACGCTGATCGTGGTGGTGATGAGTCGGCACCACATGCGCACGCCTACCAACTTGGTGCTGATGGCCATGGCTGTGTCCGACATGCTGACGCTCCTGCTGCCGGCACCGTGGATGCTCTACATGTACACCTTCGGCAACTACCGCAAGCCGCTGGACTCGATATACGCGTGTTACATGTACGTGACGATGACGGACACGTTGCCTTCGCTGTTCCACACGAGTAGTATCTGGCTGACGCTGGCGCTGGCGGTGCAGCGGTATGTGTACGTCTGCCACCCAGGCCGCGGCCCGCGCCTGGTGCACCGAGCCGCGCGTGTCACGAGCCATCGCCTGGATCTACCTGCTCGCGCTGCTGCACCAGGCCAGCCGCTTCTTCGACCGCAGCTTTGACGTGCTGGAGGTCATCTACGCCGGGCGCGTCACGCCCAGCTGCTCCATCGGCCTGCCGCACTGGGTCACGCATGCCGTCACCGAAAATGTCTACTTCGGCTTCTACTTCGGCTTCCGCCTCCTCTTCATCCATCTGCTGCCGTGCGTGTCGCTGGTGGTGTTTAACATATTGTTGTTCCGCACGCTGCAGGCAGCGCAGGCCAAGCGTCTGCAGCTCTTCAGGAACAGCTCTTCCAACGGCAAGCGGGATTGCAGGACGGCCATGGACTCCAACTGCACGACCATGATGCTGATCGTAGTGGTCAGCGCCTTCCTGATCGTGGAGATTCCACTGGCGGTGGTCACCTGCCTTCACATCGTCCAGAACCTGATGGGAAACACAGAGCTGCTGGATTATAACATCAGCCAGGCGCTGGTCGTCGTCATCAACTTCATCATCAGCCTGTCGTACCCTATCAACTTCGCCATCTACTGTGGGATGTCCCGGCAGTTCCGGGAGACCTTCCGGGACCTCTTCATCACGGGCAAAATGGCGCACTTCTCCATATCGGGCAGCGGTCGGTACTCAACCACCAACGGGCCCAGAACGGATACCATGCTCTGAATACTAAGTCACGTCTGAGGCTAGCCTATGTTGGGGCACACATGCGACGACGGTGACGACAGGATTCAGAGTGTCTTGACCACTAAATGGCGGGTACCACAGCTTAGTTGGTGCGATATCCTGCTAGATGTACATATTTGGCCGAATAGCTGAACCCAGTCTCTGTATTAAGCTGCCGCTCTTTTCGTACCACATACATTTGGATGATTAGGATGTTGACACACGTTAGTAATATTTTGACGAATGGAGTTCAGGACACTTTGACTGCTGTCTGACACCGATCGTGGGATGCAGCTGTCATCCTCTCGCAAACTACGTCGGAGCTCTTAAATTAAACTGGATCATGCATATTGCATGTTGAATGGGCGACTACATTCAGGCGTTGAAGATGAGTCGGTGTGGGGAGTAAGACGCACTCACCCGCCATTAGTGTTTGCTTTAAAGAGTTGTGCATAGCATTCCATTACAGTGGACGTAGTCTTGGGTGTAAACGTTACGTGTTTAATGGATTGTTCAGCTTATGTCTTTGTTGCGGAAACAGGTTCCTGATATCTTCCTGTAAAGAATGGCAAAGATATGTTTCGCTTTTGCATTATCTTGACATTGCCCCGACCGCCTAGGATGGTAGTCTGCATAATTCTGACATGAGCTTACAGGATGTTAAAATGTGAATCTGGCCGAACTCAGGTCATTTGCTAGTGTGAGACATCTGTCATTTGCCAGTGTGAATCTGTCAGGCCATCCGTCCTGACTAGTGGTTATGAGTAACTGACGTGCACAACACAGACGGCGGCGTACGTGTGCTATGACTGTATCCGACTGGGCAGAGCTGGCACTGAACTGTAGAATCTCACGGAACCTCGGCGGTCATCTGCGCTTACCTTCCGTCAATCCCTGAGGGGTTTTGCGGTACTGAGGTGAACCGCTGTGATTGGAGCTTCAGCTTAATGTCGCCTTGTGAATCTGATAAGCATGTCCAGAAACATGAATGCTGTGTTTGTATTTCTTTTATGTAATTGTGGAGGCTTACGTTGGGAGCGTTACGCGGAGTCCTGTTGCATGTTAAATAAAGTTTATTCCACGCTCGTATGATGTAGTGGGTTTTGGATGTGTGTTCCAAGTGGGTGTTACTTGTTCAATGTACTACAACAGCGTGGTGCAGCTAGAGGATCGGCTATGTCTGTTGCCCACAGTTGTACCACCAGAGCATTTTGGCCCAAATAAATGTGTCTCACTAGCAATGATCGGTTTTTCTCCGTCCTGTCCGACTGGGTGGAGTTTGGATCCAAGCCGACTGGATAGTGATCCAGGCCACGGTCTGAGTGAAGGTCCAGCCAGACGTGACGGGGAGGAGGGGCGCAGTGCTGGACCCTGTCGGTGGCAGCAAACAGCGTCCTTCCACGGACAGCCGGAGCTGGCACTTGTGCAGTGTTGTCACTACCGCCAGCAGGTGCCGCCTTCCCCCCCCCCCCCCTCCCCTCCCTCCACATTAGGCCAAAGCCCTGCCGCCCTATAGCAGGTAATTCTTGTAGTTCCTGGGATTCTCTGCCTTAGGAACGCTTTCCATAAACCTGCCGAACAAAGCCTGGAACTCATCGCCTAGGGAGGAGCATTCATATTACGCCTACGAGGTAAGAGCACACGGCTTTCCACCAAACTGAGTTGTTTCTTTGAGCAAGAAACATCAACAGCATTATAATTTCCGCTGAAAAAGTGCTTCAAAGCCTTTCAAGGACGTCACTGTGAGATGCTTTGTCAGCACATAATGGCGGCCTGTATCAGCCGACAGAAGTATGTCCATGAAGTATGTCACACACGTATGTCATGTGTCAAATCACAACGTTTTCACATTTCCTGGGCGTGCGAACATAGAAACCCCCGGTGGCAAATACCCTCTCCCTTACCACTTTTATGGCACGTATTAATGCGACTAAATCCTGACAGTTATCAAAAATAAACATGACCAACTACTGTCGTAAGTAAGAAGATCGAAAGCATGTGATGTGGATTTGCTCCACGCAAACATTTTTCGCTCGCCTGTTTGGAGTTTAACCATAACGACCACGTCTCCCTCACAGAAAGTGGATGATCATGCTCCCATATCTCCGTCTCCCCCATCACCCATCACTTGTTCTGGTCAAAAAAACTGACCGATACCACTTCTCGGAGGTGTCCGGCTCGGGTTCAGGCGCGTTTGTAGCCACTGCCGAGGGCACTCGGATCCGGACCTTAGTGACCTTTGCACCACTGTCTCCACAGTAACCACAGCAACTTTGTTCTTTTTCTCAAAAAGCGCTTGCCACAATGTTTAATTAAAGCAAGAACGAAAAGCCTTGACGGAAGCCGCCAGCGCTTGCGGCATTCCATAACTACAGTACTTCAGGTGATACTCGCGCCGCCGCGCAGCTGGTGCCTCGTTCGAGGCGCGGGCTCCGCCCGGTGCTGGACCCTACATCTTCCCGACGGGCCGCTGGAACGTCTGCTTCCACCCAAGCCTTCGGATCGTACGCTAGTTCAATTACGGATACATGGGACCATCACGATGTCCGCACAGGGCCCAGCTCGATACCACTTCCGGGCTCAGGGCAAGTCCCGTCCGCACCGCTGCTCAGGTCCGCCACAGCCCCAGACGTACATGATCCCTGGCTGATCACGGACCCGGGCTCATCACGAATCTGGGTTCGTTACGACCTGGGCTCATTATGGACTCATAACGGATCCGGACTCATCATGGACCCGGGATTCGGGCTCTTCACGGATGCGGGCCCATCACAGCACTCGTCCTCATCACGGGCTTGGGTCCATCACGGTACCGGGGCTCATCACGGGCCCGGGCCTATCAGAGTACCTGCGTTTGTCGTGACCAGACAGACAGCTAACTGGATGACGGAGAGTGCGCCGAGTGGAGGCGATTTAGCGCAAGGAAAACGCTTTGTTTACCGCCAACACGATCACTTCCCTCATCCACACACCTCGATGGTATAGTCCGACCAATGCCCTCAGCCTGGGCCCATTCAGTAAAGCAAGACCCCAGCAGGTCTCATCGTGAAGGATGGGGTCATAACCGGGCGGAATATAGCGAAAAGACATTGCTAACCTGGGTGGCGTTCCGGCCACGCGGCCACCTCCCCCCGTCCACACAGACCCCTGACATGACCTCGCCAAGTCCAATAAATACGGCCGAAAGGTCAAGCGGTCACAGCAGCCGAACCGGCCAGAGCGTGCGCTAAAGTCGGCCATAGTATGGGCGAACTTGATTGCGCTTTAACAAGCCTTTTAGTGCATCGCTCAAGTTTCCGTGCTTCTGCCTTAGTAGTATCATCAATATACAAATCCTTGCACAACTCTTGGGTTTTTAGGTGGTGGACGGTAGGTGCTGCAGATGCAATAGTGGCGATATGCCTGAAGTTTTCATTATAGGTGCATTTTATACGTATTCAAGTGACGGTAGGAATTTCGGTCTTCTTTGTACCAAAAGGCCTTTTTATGATAGCGATGCACACCTCTCATCCTTGAAAACGCAAAACTTATTACTTGCGCCACGTTTTTTTCTGATGATGAGATAAGGTCTCAGAACGTTGGAATGCAAAGATAGACGAACAGATGAGTTTTTTTTGCACGACCAACCTTTATGTCAAAGATGCTGCTAAGTCCAAAGCACGCAAACTCGAGGGATGCATAGCAAAGTTTGTCAATGCGGAAAGCGGAATCAGCGATCGTTTTTAAACAAACACGCATTAATAAAAATATTATACCAAGATATATATATATATATATATATATATATATATATATATATATGTATACATATATGCAGACCTGCTTTGATGCAAGACAGGAAGTATTTAGATTTTCCTTTTCACCATTTTTTCTTTGGTGCCGCTTGAATTCGAAACCCCTACAAATAGTTCATAAGGTAGGTCGTCAATAGTCATATGTAAGTATATTCAAGGCACGGCCATTTAGGTGGAAAATGGCCCAGTTCAAAATAGTTTTTTAGCTGGAATTGTTGAACTTGGCAGCGTGTGATATTGGTGCATATCAGTATTTCTGTTTTTCAGTAGTTTTCTATTCATGTGTCAGCCATTCTGCGAAGTTGTGACTTTACCACAAGCCTAGTCGTAGACAAGTGGGCACCATCTGACAGTGCTTTCAGTACAACAGTGCTTTGGTCGAAAGCGTTATAGCTGAACACGAAGTGCACAGGCATTTGGCACAGGCACAGGCAAGTTCCAGGTGTTCGCCATTCGTCGCGGTCAAAACACTGCCTTGGGGAATAATAAGTTCCCTCTTGTTCTGAAAGCATAATACAACTTTTTGCGAGATACGATACGTTTAAGCTTTTACGTTGTATCTCATTTACTATTCAAAGCACTGCAAACATTGCTTGGTAATAGATCAAAGCGAGATTACATGACTGGTTGGGGGCTTACTATAAAAGAAGTTCAAAGTCCTGCATGCTAGCGTCTCAGACGATGTCATGGCGTCCCAGGGTTAAGTCAGCTGCTTTTCGGTACCGTACTCTTGTGATAATATCCAGCGTAAAATGTATTCAGACGCATTGAAATGCTTAAGTTTTATCAAAAAGCAAACAACACGGTTTTGTCAACAAACAATTTTAAGACTTAGCGGCAATGACCAACGATGTCCAAATCATTCGAAAATTCATCCAGAAGTGTGACAATCATTCACACACACACGATATACGCCAACGTAGACAAAATCATCGGAAAGTAAATTTGCAGTCTGACACCTAAATACCAAACCAAACTCAGATGAATGCCTGGTCCGCCACATTCCTCAGAAGTTCACACTTGTTTTAGTAATGGTACAAAGCCGGAGTGGACCATTGATCAAACTTACCTAAAGCACCCTTTAGAAATATCAGGGCATGCAGCTGTTCTCGGACACGAGCGTCGGACAGCTCCGTCTCAGCCAAAGCATAAGTAGTGGTCTTGTCTGCAAAAGACAGGCGTCTCGCACAGACAGTACATGTCACATCTTACAGAAACAACTCCAACATTGAACACGACTTAAGTCGCTTGCTGACAGCTCGGACTTACCACTGCGAATGGGAATCGCCTCTAAGACTTGCATTCGTCTTCGGCCGGTAGGAGATCTTAAGTGATCTAGGTGGTGTTCAAGATGCGTGGTGAGTCTTCGAAATAGGGTGGTCGCGGTCGGACCGAAATAACTCGCTTCACAGTCAGCAGACCTTGCTTGGGCAGGTAACAGTAAACTGGTTAGATGCGTTTAGTCCTGCTGAGCTTGCTGTTGACACACTTCAGACCATTCTTTCATCAGCGGGTGGCGATGCTTCCTACTTGTGTGGTAAATATTAACGTTGTGTTTGATCCTTCCTCAGTATGCTTGACATCAGTGATCACAATCCGAACATCCACAAACACCACCATTCACAGCGTTGCTGGCATTTGTATATTTTTGTGAATTTGCGTCTTGAGGTGTCTACGGCTTCTGTCGTGTTAAAATTGAGAAAAATGCACAACTACATGTGTTTTCACACGCTGGCAACACTTTCCTTGTCGATAAGTTATCCCGATAATGCAAAGCATAATCTATACCTTCATTCTCCTGGTTTTTCTCCGAGGAATAAAGCTTGCTATTGCCTTGTCTATGTGCCCTGATTTTGAGTAAACGTAATCATGGTCAGGTGATGCACCGCATTTCACAATATATGTAAATTGATGTGCGCGCACACACACACACACACACACACACACGCACGCACGCACACACACACACACACACACACACACACACACACACACACACACACACACACACACACACACACACACACACACACACACACACACACCACGCACACACACACACACACACACACACACACACACACACACACCACACACACACACACACACACACACACACACACACACACACACACACACACACACTATATATATATATATATATATATATATATATATATATATATATATATTACCGACAATCCTTCTTAAGTCCTTAGCGCATCTAGTACAAAGTTCGTGACGCTTTGATGTGCCTTTCCCGGTAGCTTACTTGGTTAGAACGCATACGTTTCGATTCGCCCACCCGCGGCGGCGTGGCGCTTCCAATTCAGCCTGACTGGTACGGCGCGCAGTTAGTGGCGGTCGCCGCGCTAAAGGTTAAATGCTGTTGGGGAACAGGACGGCCCCTGCCAA